AGCACCCTGGGGTGCAGCAGCCGGGGGTCTGGGGTGCAGCAGCTCTGGGGTGCAGCGGGGACCCCGCGGACGGAGCCACGCACGAGGCGTGCTTTCCTTGCGCAGCACGAGGGGTCCCCGTGGGGGGCAGGGGGTGGCCAGCGGGTGGGGAAGGCTGCCTGCCTGGCACTGGCGCTGGCGCTGGCTGGGGCCGAACCCCTCCGGGGTTGTGCCAGGGGAACTTTCCCACCTTGCCCTGGCTCGGCCAGAGGTGGCCAGCCCCGGGCTGGGCACCCAGGGCAGGGAGGGCAGTGTCACGGGGTGCACCCGGTGCCAGGGCCCCATCCGCCACGGCCAGACCCCCGATGCCAGCAGCAGCCTGTGCCCTGGCGGGGTGGGGGCCGAAGGCACCAGCCCCCCCTGAAGTCCCGGCCCCCACTGGCCCTGCCAAGCTCCTCCTGCTCTGGGAGGAAGAGGTCCAGCAGCTCCCAGTTGATTCCAGGTCAGCTGATCCCAGCTCGGAAACATCCTGGAAAACAGGGGGGTTGTTAACCCTCGCCAGCCCAGGCCCACCCTCCCCCAGCTGCAGGAACGGGCCACGGCAGGGTGTGGGTGCTTGGCGTCGCAGGTTGAGGAGGGTGGGATGCCGGGGGTCAGTGTGACGCCCCAGGGGGAGCTGGGGGTTCGGGTGCTAGTGGGGTGCAGCTGCTGCTTGGGGTCTGTGGGTGAACGTACAGTGCCGTGCGCTGCGGGGCCGGCAGGGCCCAACCTGGCTTCTAGCTCCTGCTTCCCCAGTCCTTGTCTCCAGATCAGGCTCAAATTTGGCCCCTGGGGCTTGCCGGGCTCTGAGGATCCAGAGGCTGCAGTGGGATTGGATCCCATTGGAGCCAGCGCGCCTAGTGCTGTACGAACCGTGGCTGCAGGGGAGGGGTGAACCTGGGGAGGGCCAGGTTCCCATTTTCTGCTGGGGGTGTGTGAACCTGTCGAGGGCCAGGTTCCCATTTTCTGCTGGGGGTGGTTTGGGTCCTTCAATTGGGGAGGTGCGTGGCTATGAGGTGGCCAATCCCCTGCTGGCTGCGTGGGAGGAGCCTCTTGAAAACGAGGCTGGGGCTTGGGTGCTGTGGGTGAGCATACGAAGGCCAGATGCCTGCAGGGGACGGGAGCCCCAGTGCCGTGGGGCTGGGCAGGCAGAGGGAGCCCCCTGCGCCTGGATCTCTTGCTGTGACCAGGTAAGCTGCTTCTCTGCTCCATGCCTCAGTTTCCCCTCTCTGCTGCAGGCACTGCCCTCTGCTGGGTGGGTGCATCAGGCTCAGCTGTGTGTCACGAGCCCCGTACTGCGCCCAGCTGAGCCTGTGAGCTCAGGGCTTTGGGATCCAGAAAGGTGCAGGGCTTGAAGCTGTAATGCCTAGGGTCTGCGCCTGGCCCTGCCCTGCCCTGCGGTGTGGGCTGGAGCATGCCATGTCCCCGTTCTGTGCCTCAGTTTCCCCACCTGTGGTACTGAGCGCAGAGTCCTGGCGCAGCCTGGGACTGAACTAGCTGGGGCTGTTCCTACATGGGGTGTGAAGAGCGGCTGCGTTCCACCCCAGAACCAGCCGCATCTCAGCTGGTGAGGAAGTGGCTGTGGTGCGTTGGAGATGGATCTTGTATTCCCTTTTGCAGGGGAATGGACATGCTGCCTTGTTGTTGTAGGTCCTACGTAAAGATAGGGGCTGCCTGCTGGGCTGGTGTTGCTGGCTTTGCCCTGAGGTCTGGATGGGGTTTCACGTCCTGGCAGAGGGTGCAGCCTTTGCCCCCCTTCCCCGATGCGGCAGTGTCTGGGTGGGGTCGGGGTTACTGGGCTTCCTGGGGGCAGGGGGTTGCCCTTGGGGGCCATGGGCCCAGCATCATGTGGGCACTAGGCAAGGGCACAAATTAACACCGGCTCCTCGTTCTCATGCCTGCCGTTCTGGGCCCCGTGTGGCACACGTGTGCCCTGGTGCCCCCTTGCTGCCCCCCTCCATAGCCAGGTCTGTCCTGGGCCTCACCCGCATGCAGGCCACAGCTCCCCCTGGGGCCAGGTGTGGGGGAGAGCAAGGCACTGGCGGCAGGGGCACAGGTCCCCAACACGTTGGGGGCATCTGCTCTGCCTGGGTGCAAGCTCTGCCCTAGTTTTCTGGCTTTCAAGAGAAGAAAACAGCCTTTTTTTTTCCGCCTCACGGTTGATTGTCACCTGGGAGCTGACAGCGGGCAGGATCATGTGGCTTGGGGCCTAGGTGTGGCTGGTGCCGGTGCCCAGGCAGCCCATCCTGGGAGCACCCTGGCCAGACCCACCGTGGGCTGGGGTCACGGGGCTATGGACATGGGGCTTGCATGCTAAATCCCACAGACCCCCGAGCAGACAGAACTGCTGCTGTCCTGGGGGGGCTGTTGGGCTCTCACATTTCCTAGCCCGCTGGCACCCTGCGAGGGGCTATCCTGGGATAAGGATACAGGACACTTATACTGGTATCACTTCCCCATGTAGTTTTGCCCCGATCCTTTCAGGGGGGGTCTAGGCAGGAGGGGGTGATGCTACCCCAGGAGGAGGGGTTACACTGGTGTAAAGGGGTAGTTTGTCTGGGCCCCTCGTTACTGCTGGGTAGCGATGGGCAGTGGAGCAGGATCGTTGGAGGTCAGGCCCCGGTTCCCCCCTGCACCTCGTGCACCCTGTCATGCAAAGCGTGTACATGTAGATTGGCACAACTGTGCCTGGGGACACCTGGCTCCCATACAAGGTGCTGGGGGTGCAGAGGCCGTTGTGCGAGGGGCCATACACAGTGTTTTCTACAGGCATTGCACGACGGCCAATCAGTGAGTGCCGGGCGCATGGAGGGGAGCCAGGAGGCTTCGTAGCCGGCTGCCTCCAGCTGCTGCTTCTGGGCTGGGCTCCTGCAGAGGGAGGAGAGTGGGTGCTTTGCATGGTGAAGGGGTGTGAAGTCACCCCCCACCCCTTCCCTGCATGCCCGCTGCCGCCTTGGCCCTGCCCCGGCCCGCTTGCTGCCCGCCAACCCAGCCCAGCCAGTGCTGCCGCGGCCCCTTCTCTGAGTTATTGTGTTTACGAGCCTTTAACAATGGAATAAATAAGGGGATCGATCACGCCAGGCATGCAGACAGGCGCGTGCACGCACACAGACACATGCAGAGACAGGCATGTGCAGGCACGCACAGATGCACGCACACAGTGACAGGCAAACAGACAGAAACACATATATGAGCATGTACAGACACACACACATGCACACTGAGACAGACATACATGCATGCCCACATATGCTCACACACATGCACACAGAGGCGGGAACATAGGCACACACAGACAGACACATGCACACACTGAGACAGGCGCATGTGTACACACACACACACACACACACACACACACACTGAGATGGGCATACACACACATGAACATACAGATTGGAACATAGATATGCACACAGACACACGCAGAGATGGGGAAGCAGGACGGGGAATGGTGATGGCTGGGACCTGGGCCAGGTGCCCAGTCATCCCAGCCCTGGGGCCCCTGCGTGGGTACGGACCTCGCTGCTGGCCCGGACTCCTGGGTTCTCTTCCCAGCTGTGGGAAGCAGGGGCTGGGGTGAGTGTGCTGGGGCAGGGATCGGGACCCTGGGTCCTCTGTCTGGAGGCCAGGGCAGGCCCCGGGCAGTGGGTGCATTCCCTGCTGGTGCCTCTCCCCACTATGTACCCGGCCTGCGTGGCCCTGATCCTAGGCCAGGCTCTAGGCGCCAGTGCCAGGATCCCCGCGCTGCAGTGATGCTAACGGCTCGCTTGGATCCTAGATGGAGAGGAGCCGCCAGGACCTCCCAGCACTGCACCAAGGTGGCAGCAGCCGGGGAACAAAGTCCCTGTGCCTGGGCCACGCGTCTCCCCGCACTCGGAGCTCCATGTCGGGCCATGGGCCAGACTGACCTGCGGGCAGCGACAGCAGCAACAGCTCCAGCTCCAGCCGGATGTCCCGGCTGTGAGGCTGCTTCCTGCCATTGTCCCAGACCCGGCCAGGGCCGAGGCCCCCCCTTCGCCTCCCCTCTGGCACAGATCGCAGCCCACATCTGCTAGGGGTTGCGAGCCAGGCCCGCACAGAAGCCAGGCCTGTCTAGGGCGAGGGGAACCCAGGAGTCCGGGTGCCCTGCACCCCCTCTGCTCCGGACCCCAGCTCCCACCCCTCCTCCATAGTGGGGGGAGAACCCAGGAGTCTGGGCGCCCAGCCCCCTGCCCCCACCAGCTCTGACTCCTAAATCTCTCCCCTCCCAGAGCTGGGGAGAGAACCCAGGAGTCCTGGCGCCCAGCCTACCCACTAGCCCTGGCTCTCTCCCAGATACACAAACCCAGGAGTCCTGGCTCAGGGCCCCCTGTCCTTGGTGTAACCCGGCAGAGCCCCCATGCTCCTGTCTTGGAGCTGGGAAGGGAACCCGCGAGTCCTGGTGCCCTCAGCTCTAGTTCCCGTGCAGGATGGATCAGGACGCTGGTGCTGCCTGGTGGTGGTGGGGCATAGATGGACTGGGGCTAATTAACACACTCAAGTGTTATCCCATTACCCCTTCGCAGGGCAGCTGGGCAAGGCTGGCATGGCAGAGATGAGCACCAGTAGGGCCAAGCACAGCACAGACCTGGACAAAGCCTCTCCCAGCACTCTCCTGGTCTGACCAGATGCGAGACAGGAAGGGAAATCGAGGCCCAGAACCCCCCCCCAAGGGATTTAGGAGCCCAGCCTCAATGGGAGTTAGACACTCGGGTGCCTTCAAGGGCCTGGAGGCGTGAGGCACGTCTGGTCACAGGACCCAGATTCCAGGGCTCTTGGCTGCTGGATTGTGTGGATCCTGGGGGCACCGGGCTGGTATGGACCTGGTCTTGGCTGGGCTGCGGGCAGGGAAGGGTGGTAAACAACGAACAGAGCAGGCCTGGTTGCTGGGACCCAGGTGTCCTGGTCGCATGACTACAGGCAGGTTGTGAGAGCCAGGTCAGGGCGGGCTGTGTGTGCAAGCATGTGGAGGCATGTACATGCGTGTGGAGGCGTGTGCAACCCCATCCTGTTCCCAGAGCAGCTTGGCACTGGTTTCACTGGTCCCCATGGCCCCTGGTAGCCCTGCCAGCCGTTGCCCCATGCTGGCAGGAGAGGAGGGGCTGAGTCAGGCCTGTGTTGCATGGGGGGTTTGCATGTTGGTGTGTGCACACTCAGCCCTTGGGGATGCACCAGGGCCTGGGAGCTGCAGCCAGGACCCCTGTGCACTCTCCCCCTGCCGGCGCTGCTCCCTTCCCCCAGGTCTGTCTGGTCCGGGGCTGTGAGATCAGTGGTTGGTGGCTCCAGACTCAGGGTCAGCCCCAATGTCAGGCACTGACTGGAGACCAGGGCAAAGGCGGCTGCAGCCGGTGTCGGGGAAGGGTGATCTGTACAAGGCAGAGTGATGGGGGTGGGGGTTTGCACGGGGATCACGTGTGCGTATGGTCACATATGTGTGCACATGCACCCCCTGTATATGACTTGGATCATGGCTCCTCACACTGGGGTGCAGTGTGCATGCATGTGAATGCACAAGTGCACACTGGTGCTGGCACACAAGGCTTCCGTGCCCCCCCACAGGAAGGCCAACCCATGCCTGCGGCACCTGCCCTTTCCTCAGTTTCCCCACATTGTCCTGACCTACTGCGGGGGGAGGCTCCCATGGGCACTGTGCTGGATGCCTCCCTCATCTCTAAATGCATCATCTCCCTTGGCCACATACCCTCTGGGGACCCAGGTGTCCAGACTCCCCGCTCCCCCGAGTTGGGGTAGAACCCAGGAGTCCTGCCTCAGTCCTTAGTGCCCTTCTGGGGCTGGGCTTGGGGCTGTATCGGAGAGAGGAGACATGGGCAGCTCCCCCTGTCCTATGCTGGGCCTCAAAGGGTTGGGGGGGCTGGGTACCACAGAGATCCCATTTGGTGCTTGTGCTGGGAGGGGGGGCTGTGGGTCAGGAGTGAGGGGCACTGGCAGGGCTGGGCACAGTCTCTGCCACACTCAGGGTATCTGGTGCAGGGTGCAATGGCTGGTGGGGGGAGACCCCCACACCCGGACACCTGGGTCCCATGGCTGGGGGGTCTCATGTCTCCACATGTGGCCAGCTCTGGATCTCACCTCTCTTTTCCCCTTGCAGCCCTGCCGGACCCCCTGGACATCACCCGAGCCCCCCTGGCTTCCCTCAGGTGCTGTCAAACTGCCGTGGACCCACGAGCCCCAGGTAGGGCCCAGCTGTGGGCTGGTGGGTGGATCCTAGGTATGGGGTGTTTCAGACTGAGCTGTAGGTGCCAGGGAGGAGCGGTGGGACCCAGGTGTCTGGGTGTGTGGTAGCTGCTAGGCTTGGGGGACAGGTTCAAGTTCAGGGACTTGGGCTTGGCACTGGGGCTGCTCCAGCCTGGCAGGGTCCCTGTGCTGAGGCTGGCTCAGGTCTAGCTTTACTCTGTGTCTGCAGCCTTGCACTGGGTGCATCCCACCAGGCTGCAGGGCTCCAGTAGCTGTTGGACCCCCCTGGCACTGCCCAGCCCACAGAGGGGCCGGCACTGCCGGGCATGGGCGCTGGCACTGGGCAAGGGCTGGCATGCAGCCGGCAGGCCTCCTGGCACTGACTGGCACCACACTCTGCAAAGCTAAGCAGAGTCTGGCTCATTCATCATTTGGATGGGAGACCAGGGTGGAGGGTGCGGGAGTGCCTGGCTCCCTGAGACATCCCCCCAGCCCTGCACCTGGGTCTCTGACCTACCCGAAGCGCTGGCTGTGCCGCGCCCCAACGCTGGCTGCATTGGGGCATGTCCCGGTGCTCCCCCGGCCACCGTCTCCAGGCTGGCTCCAACTGGCCGCTGAAGCTGAATTATTCATATTTTAATTTCTGATGCAGCCAGACGTGGGGTGGGGGGGGCTGGGCACGGACGTGCGGGGCTCAGGGGAGCGGCCTGGCAGCCCCCTGCTGGTTAGGGCTCGTGTGTGTCATAGTTCCCGTGTGGCTGGTGGTGGGGGTGAGTCTCCAGCAGAGCGCAGCATGGGGGTGTGGATCAGGTGAGGAGTGGGGGGCAGGCTCTGAGGGCCTGAGTGAGGGTCCAGTCCTGGCTGATCAGAGCGCTGGGCTGTTGGACCCAGGTGTCCAGTCTCCCCCACGGCACCGAGCCAACACCCCTGTCCCCACCCTGGCAGCCTCTGGTGCAGTGACTAGAGACTCCTGGGTCCTGTGCCCAGCTCGCGGGGAGGGTAGCGGTAGGGGTTAGATCAGTAGTGTCTGTGCCAGGACTCCTGGGTTCTCATCCAGGAGGCAGGTCACTGAGCTGGGGGAGGTGGTGGGGGGGGCAGGCTGGGCTCCCAGGGCATCATGGGAGCAGGGAGAGAGGGACCAGGCTGTGAGTTGTGGGGGGCAGGACACTAGGGTTCAGCTCCCAGCTTTGCCACGGCACTCCTGCCTGGCCTTGGCCCTGTCACCTCACCCCCACCCACCTCCCCTGTGGCGTGGGAGACTGGCTTTTGAGTGTGGACAGGAAGTGGCAGGCATTTGAGACAGAAAGTGGGGTGGCACTGCAAACGGGAACTAGGGGGCATTTGAGACAAAGTGGGGGACACTGCAGGCCAGGACTCTAGGGCCAGGGGTTCAAATCCCCATGCAGCATCATTGCAGACAACTCACCACTCGCTCTGTGCCTCAGTTTCCCCAACTGTTGCTGGGCTCCACACATCAGCCATGGCTGCCTGGCCAGTGCCCGGCAGTGAGAACCCACAGGGTTAACCCGCAGTCTCTGCCCTAGGGCACGGGGTATGTGCACGGTGCTAGCTCCCAGGGCTTCAGGGAAAGCATCTTGTACATCAGGGCAGCCCCAGGGTGACTCTAACTGACTGGAACTGGCACCGGCACCGGCACCCGGCTGGCCCTGGTCCTTTCCTGGGCTTGCATAAGTATAGGCCTACAAGCACACGCTTGCATGCACAGATCTGCTGATATGAGTACATGCCCAAGTGGGGGTGCCCCCACCTCTGCACCTGCAGGCCCAGGCACCTCGGGATGAGCACACAGCTGTGTGAATACACGCTCACACATACCCATGTGAGCACACACATGCCACCTATTACATGCATACCTGCCTGAACAGATGTGTGAGTACATGCTCATACATGTGTGACCCAAGTAGGCACATACTCATGTGAACACACTCCTCCAGGACCACTACTTAGACACGCATACCCACATGAGCGTGCAGGCCCATGAACTCTGCATACATGTGTACCCCCACATGAGTACATACCCATGTGAACACACATCCACGCACGCTCAGGTGGAAACACACCCCATGTGAACACACCTCCGGCATGAAGACCTCATGCATGTGAATACCTCTGTGAGTACACACCCACGTGAACCCACATTCCTATAGGCACACCCCCACCTGAACACAACTCTTAGATGAACACTGCATTCATATGCATACCCATGTGAGCACACACTCATGTGAACATGCTTGCCCATGTGAAAACGTGTGTAGACACACACCCATGTAAACACACCCTTTACCTGAGCACTGAATACACATGCACACCCATGTAAGTATACACCCAGTTGAACCAACTCACACCCATGCATGCCCACATGAAAACACACTCATTGCAGGCACACTTCTGTGAACACCTCCTCCCTCCCATGTAAGCACACACCCATGCAGGCAGCATCCATGCACACACCCACCTGCTTGAGTAGAGGCCCATGTAAAAACACACTTGTGTAGACACCTGAGTGCACACTCATGTGAGCACATGCCCCATGTGAACATGCACCGATGCTGGCACATACCGCACATGAACACACAAGCATATACGCCCAGGCACGTACAGCCTGTACGCGCCCCCACATGGGCACATGCGTGCACACCCACTGTGTGCAGTCCGTCCCTCTCTGGGGCACTGCATGCCCCCGCTCTGCTCTCGGTGGGGCTCTGCCCAGCCCTTGCCACGCGGTGCCTTCTCCCCTCCCCCCGTGTGGCTCTGGTGCTCCCCTGGGAGCCAGCTTTGCAGCAGTGTAATTAACGGTGCTAATGACGCGTGCGGCGGCTCCGGCAGCCGGGGCCTTCGTTAAAAATAATGGAGCAGAGAGGAGTGATGGATTTCGGTGGGGGGGGAGAGACGACTGGGAGCCAGGACGCCTGGGTTGCTCCTCCAATGCCAGGAGAGGAAGGGAGGTCCATTGATCAGAGCTCATGCACGTGTACATATGCACACATGTGCATATATACACACAGGCAGGCACATGTGTACATATGAACAAGCACACACAGGAGCACATGTACATGCACCATACACACACCTGTACACAAGTGTACATACAGACATGTACATGCATTCGCATACCTACATGTGCACACGGGCATGCACATGCATGTATACACAAATGCATATGATTGTGCATACAGACATGGATATGCACACACATCCACACATGCTTGCACACACGTACACCCCCATACACACACCTGTATACAAGTGTACATACAGACATGTATGTGTAGACACAAGCACACATGGGTGCACATACACGGGGCCCATGCACAGTAGTGCACACAATGACATCCTGGGATTAGCTTCCTGTTAACCAGGTCTGCGGGGCCTCCAGTCCCACGGGGTTGCCGCGCCTCCCTCCACCTGCTGTGGGCTGGGCTGCCCCCACCCTGGCCCCAGCTGGGGGTGGGTCTGAGAGCCTCTGTGTCACCATCGTGCTTGTCTTGGCCCCTTGTGCCCGATGTTGCACGTGCATGAGACAGCCCTGCCCACCGGGGTGTGCACCAGGGACAGACAGGGGCTGAGCCCCAGCTGTGCCCAGGCTGGACTGAGTCTGAAAGGCACTGAATCAGGCCCAGGCTTCCCCCTGCCTGACCCCCATTCTGCCCCAAGCAGTGGGGTGGCTCTGTCCTGGGGGTCCTGCCCCCTTCTACACCAGGAGACACATGCACAGCTGGTGCTAGGAGCCAGGACTCCTGGATTTTCTCCCCTGTGCTGGAGCCAGGATTTCTGGGCTCCATTCCCAGCGCCAGAAGGCCTGTCTGCCAGGTGCAGATGGGAGATAGGACTCCTGGGTTCCCTGCTTAGTTTGGGGTTGCTAGCCTGGCTCCTGGGGTCCATGCCTGGCTGGGCCCCGCTAATGGGTGCCCCCTGCAATGTGCATGGTGCTGCATATACCCATGCCTGCCTGTATAATTCCCACTATTTAAAAAGGCCCCTTCCCCTTCTAATGATCCCAGGCAGGCTTAACAGGCACGTGCCCACCTGCAACCTACACCTGGCCACTGTAATAGCCCAGCACCTGCCGGGTTTTGGGGGCAGGGGTGGGGGGCTGGGTACCACAGAGATCCCATTTGGTGCTCGGGCCTCTTGGTGCTGTGCTAGCCAGGAGGGGCCTCTCTAGGGAGCTGCAGGGCAGTAGTGTGCCCCTAGGGTCCATTGTGCGAGGCGAGAGACCCGTTGTGCGAGGCAGGGTGAGCTCGGCTGCATGGGGGCTGCCGTTCCTAGGCCTGATCGCTGCTGTGGCAGTGATCGTGTTAATGATGGGATGATGATTGACAGCGCCTGGAGCCTGGCTGGGGGCACTCGAGGTGAGCCACCCACTACGTGCCACATCGGTAGCCATGGCCCTGGGGTGCAAGGCTCTGTACATCCTGGCGTTATGAGACAAGCCCAGGCAGGAGGGGAAACTAAGGCACGGGTGGGGGCAGGACTCCACAAGGCCCCGTGGCAGAGCTGGGAGTAGCGCTCTGGGCCCCAGATTCCATCCCCTTGGTGTGGCCCCACTGCCTCCTGCTGGCCATAGGGGTACCCTGTGCAGAGCTGTCCCTAGGGGTGTGCGGGGCGGTTTCCCTGATTCACTCCCCACCCGGGACGGCCCTGACCCTGTGCCCATGCCCACAGCTAATGGGGTTTTCCCCAGGCTGCATTAGTGGCAAAGGCTTTTGGGCCCCAGGTCTGGCTGGGGGTCACTGCCTGGGTGCTGCCAGTCCCCAGGGCTCCTCAGGATGCTGCCAGATGTGCCTGCCCCCATGGCATCTGCACTGGGGCAGATGGGCAGCAGGCACTGCCCCCAACACAGAGCCTGAGGTGCCCTGCTAGGGTTGGGCGGGGACAGAGAACTACCCCTCCAGCCCCTGCCAGGGCAGACCCTCTCCTGCCAGCCTGTGCTTCATCACCCGCAAATTACAGCTCCAGCTAATCATTCCCAGCTTCCAATTAGCCCTGATTGGGCTGGTGCAGCGCTGGGTAATTAGCAATCCAGCCAGGAGCTGGAGGGCGGGGGCTGGGCTGGCAAAACAGCTCTCAGCTTCCCAGCCTCAGACTCCCGCATGCGTGTACACACACACACACACACACACACACACACACACACCCCTGGCATCCAGGGGACACGCACATCCCACACTTCAGGCATCCAAGGGGCGTATACACACAGCCCCCGCCCCCCAGGCATCCAGGACACCCCCCCACCCTGCCCCAGCCATCTGAGATGCACACACATACCGAAACCATGTTTCTGACACGCACAGAAACCATGTGTCTCTCTCTCTCTCGCGTGTGCATACACACAAAACCCAAGTATCTGATACACATCTGCACGCACACATGTGCACACACCCAGTTCCCAGCACAAGCCAGAAGCAACTGAGTAAGGACGGGGAGGGAGGGGCTGATAGCTGCACCCCTGGAGGGCAAGGGGCAGGGGGGGGCACTTGGGCACAGTACCCCTGCTGGCCAGCACTGGAAGTGCCCCAGGGCAGTGGGGACAGGGGGCACTGGAGCGCACCCTGCCCTTCCCGCAGCTTCATAGGGCTTGCAGGCCCTGTCCAGCTGTGTGACGGATCACCACGCCCCGGTGTCTAGTGCTGCTGGGGCACTGTGGTATGGGGCTGGGACCTTGGGATAGCATGCCAGGCCCTGCCCGCTACTTGTGTGTGCAAGCCCACACGGACACATGTGCACAGATAAAGACACATGCACAGAGCAGGCTTTGCCACTGTCTGGCTGAATGCGCACGCACAGACACCAAGTATTACCCCAGTGACATGCACACATGTGGCTCTTCCTCTGTCCTGCTGCTTGCACACACATGTTGATACCAGGCATGGCCAGTGCCTGGCTAAACACACGGACACTCTCGCACGTGCACACACAGCACTTCTCCTGTCCTGCTACATGCATGCACATGCGTGTTTGTACCAGGCCTTGCCACTGCCCAGCTAAACACACATATACACATACACACTGCACTTTTGCTGCCCTGCTACACACACACACACATCCCTGGGCATCACTGTCCTCCTGCCTCCCCCCCTCTGTCTCGTTTCCTTCCCTTGCTTCCCCCCCTCCAGGCCTGAGATGGGCCTCCCTGGCCCCACCTCATGCCTGTGCCCCTGGCCGACCCCTCTGCACACACGCGGCGGCATTACCATCCATGGCTAATCGCGGCCACTCCAGCCTGATTGCACCCAGCTATTTATACCTCCTGGCACTGGCTCTGAGCTGCAATCGCAGCCCTGGTTGGAAAATCGTGCCCCCCCTGTGTCCCCTCTCTGTTCTGGGCTGTAACCCCTGCTATGCAGCGGGGAGGGCAGGGGACTGGCTGCCGGGACTCCTGGGCTCCTAACGGCCCGTTCCTGGGTTCCCGTCGTGGCTCCGGGATAGTATTGTTTGCTAGTCTTTGGAGCAAGGTGGGGGGATGCCAGGACTCCTGGGTTCTCCTCTCAGTTCTGGGGTGGGTAGGGGGGAACAGGGCTCTCTTCTTTGGGAGCCAGACAGCACCGTGCCTTGCTCTGCCCATATGCCCGCACTGACCCAGACTGATTGTCCCTAGATTCGGGTCTGAGTGAATCTGGGTGCCCCCAGGAGCACTCCTGCATTGTGCCAGAGGCAGCACTGCCCATGGCAGGGCAGGGAGGTGCCCGGGGAGGCTGAGCGACGTCAAGTCCCGACCAGGGGGAGCTCCGAGGCTCTCGCGGGAGGCGAACCCACGTCAGCCCCTGCCAGTGCCGCCCCATGCTGACGCCAGTGCTTGCCGCAGCCCTGGGGACCCAGCTGCCCACAGTGCCCTGTGAGCTGGTGGTTAGGAGCTGCCTCTCCTGGCACCCTCCAGGATGCCCATCCATGTGAGTGTGTATGCATAGATGTGTGCATACACACTCATCTCCACACAGACATTCCCCAGCAGTAGGCACGGGTGCCCACGCCCTCCCAGTGGCTACACACAAGCATGCACACACCTTACACAGATGTGTGCACAGAGCACGAATACTGTATACCCAGATGCATGCCCTCTCCACCTTCTACATGCCCCCTGTGTCCAGAGAGACCGCCACTTCTGGGACACCCCTTTCTGTGTATACAGACACCATACCCTTTGTGCGTACACACACACACACACAGAGTATACCCCCATGTGCATCTACACACACCTCTTCCACAGTATACAGCAACATGTGTCCAGTCCACAAACACCTCTTCCACTCTCAGTTTACACTGGTGTGTGTCACACACACACCTCTTGCCCAGGTATGAATAGATACCAGCAAACCTTGTATATATTGTACATACACACACGTATGTGTACAGAGGTGCACGTGCAACCTGATAAACACCCCTGCCTGCTCCGGCTCTGGGGTCTAATGGGTTAGTATGGAGTGGGGCTGGGCATTGGGACGCCTGGGTTCCCTGCCCATTTCTGGGGCGCATGGATTCTGGCGGTGAGACTAGGGCGATGGGTGTCAGGACACCTGGGTTCTCTTCCCAGCTTGGGGAGGAGAAGGGGGCTTGGTGGTGAGAACTGGGCTGGGCTTGGGGACACTGGGTCCATCTTGCCAGCAGCAAACTGAGAAAGAACAAGTCAAGTCACCTCATCCACTCTCCCTTCCCAGCTTCCCCAACCAGCTCTGGTGGTAACTCTATCCCTGCACCAGCTGCTGCGCCCGCGTGCTCCCCAGCCCTGTGCCAGGACGGGGGGGCTGGGGGTACACGCCCTGTTTGCTATGAGTGGGGGGGGGCAGCTCTGTGTCATGGGGGGATAGGGCTGGAGCAGGGGGGCCATGGGACTGGGAGTTTCCCCTTCAGTCCAGACAGCGCTGGTTCACCCCCTGCAGTGTCACAGCCCTGGGACCGGGGCAGAAAGGGGTGTAAATCTGGAGCAGGCTTCTCAGGGCTGGAGCCCGAACTCCTGGGTTCCCGTCTGGGATGGGAGTAGGTGGGAGCAAAGCGGGGCTCTGTTGCCGGCTCTGGGGAGGTCTCAAGCACGAGACTCCTGGGTTCGTTCTTCATTGCTGCAAGGAGCATGGGGTCCAGAGCGCCTAAGTCTCCCACACCTGCCTCTGCCTTGGGCCAGCCCCGGTGCCCGGTCCTGCTGCATCCCTGCCACAAGGCCCCCCCACACTAGCAAATGAGCCCCCAATGCCCGGTGCGGGGGGGAGTATCTCCTGGTGGTTAGGGCGTGGGGGGCTGGGAGTCAGGACTCCTGGGTTCCCGTCAAGCTGTGGTGGGGGGTGCGCGGAGGGGCCTGGAGTCCGGACCCCTGGGTTCTGCTCTGGGTTTGTGGGGCATGTGGGGATCCACGGCCGGGGGCTGTGCATGGGAGGAGTGCTGGTGAGGCTACAGAGATGCGAGCCCGGTCGTGTCTCCCCAGGGCTGGCGGCAGGCGAGCAAAGGATGGCACAGCCCTAGGCCCTGCCGGGAAGATTCCTGCCTGCACCGCGCTGCTCCCGGGACGGCCGCGAGGATGCCCTGCTCCCTCTCAGCTGTGGCTCTGCTCCTACTTGCCCTCACCCGGAGCCTCCCGGCGGCCACGCTGTCCTTCCCCAGAGACCTCGTCCCCCTCAGCACCGTGGGCCTGACAAGTACGTGAGCTGGGTGGCAGCCGTGGCGGTCAGTGGCGATGATGATGAATGCCTTGGTGGGAGTCTGAGGTGGGGCTGTGGCAGGCGTGGGGGTCCCAGGTGTGGTCCCGCCGGGTGAGCGTGGGGCAGTGTGTAACGCCCGCCTGTCCTCCCCCTGCTGCCAGGCACGTCCCAGTACCCCTGGTTCCGGGGCCTGGCGGGGGACAATGACACGGCCCAGCTCGGCCTGGACTTCCAGAGGATGCTACGGCTCAACCAGACACTCTTCATCGCCGCACGGTGAGTGCAGGGGGGGCAAGCTGCCCCCCTCCAACCACAGCACACAGCATGCACCCAGCCGCAGCACACCCATCATGCATGTTTTGCACAAGCATCATGCACAGCCAGTGCTGACGTCCCCCTTGTGCCCACTCCCACCGCAGCATGCATCATGCACAGCCCTCGCACAGCTTCTGCACGCCCCTAGTGCACCATCCCAGCATGCTGACCTCCGCCGCCAGCCCCACTGCCCTCCCAGGCCCGGTATTTCAGCACCCGTGGGTGCTGGGATGGTTCATAGAATCTGAGAGCTGGAAGGGAGCTGCGGCAGTCATGTCTAGTTCAACCCCCTGCCTGAGGCAGGATCTGCCCTGTGCAAGCCATCCCAGACAAATCCATCATCCAGTCTCTCACATAAGACAACTGTCAGCCCTGACACAGCACAGACATCACCCCCACCCACTTGCCCCAGGGAAAGCTGGGGGCCCACAGCAGCAGCGTCCTGCTTCTGTGAAATCTTGTGATACACCCTCGAGAGATCCCAGGCAGAGGCCATGCCCCCACTGCAGAGGAAGGCAAACCCCCCAGTCTGTACCAGTCTGAGAAAAAGGGAAAATTCTTTCCTGACCCCAGTGCAGCATCAGTCTGATCCTGAGTGAAGGGGCAAGACTCTGTAGCCAGGACCTGCCAGCTTTGGTGATAGCAAGAGCATTGTCACAGCCCAGACCTCATCCCCAGCCTGGGCTGCAGCTAACACCCAGTACCTCTGAGGGAGCCTTTAAAACCCCTTGACACATGGAGCAGAAAGGGCTGGGGGTTACCCAGCAAAGCCCAGAAGCCTGGACAATTCCCATAGTAAAACACAGGCATCACTACACCTAGATCACCCCCAACTAGTTGCTGTGCAGCCTCTCCTTGAACCCCTCCAGTGATCCAGAGTTCACCCTTCCCTGGCGTCAATGCCACGGCCTCCCTGCTCTGACAGTGCAGAAGTGTTTCCTGAGGTCCAGTCGAAACCTGCTTTGCTGCCACTTCAAGCCATTCAAGTTCCACGTCCCCTCTCTCTCCCCGCAGGGACCATGTGTATGCCTTTGATCTCCAGTGGGCCAAGGAGCTGCTGTGTCCAGACAGGGTAAGGGGCAGAAGGAACCATGGCTGTCAGAGCAGGGCCAGGTGGGGTGTGGGGTGAGATGCAGGACTCCTGCGGTCTAATCTCAGCTTTGGGAAAAGGAGGGCAGCCCAATGGTTAGAGCTTGGGAGAGAGACTGGAAGTCAGGACACCTGGGTTCCAGTCCCAGGGCATCTGCATGGTGTTGGGCACTGCCTAGGCCCATGCAGGAGAAGGCTGCTTCCTGGCGCCACCCTTTAACCCTCTTCCTCCCCCACATCAGTATCTCACGTGGAAGACGCAGGACGTGGACAACTGTGCCATGCGTGGGAAGCTCAGGGTAAGACCTACTTCCCCGCACCCTGATGTGGGAACTGGGACTTCTGGTACTTACCCCCTGTCCCCTCCCCTGGCAGGACGAGTGCTACAACTACATCAAGGTGCTGGTGCCCAAGGACGACCGGACCCTCTTTGCCTGTGGGACGAATGCCTTCAACCCCATGTGCCGTACCTACAAGGTAAGGGGACAGGGTTTTTCCTGCTGCAGCTGGCTACGTGCCCTCCCCATTAGCCCAGCTGGCTGGTAGCCCTCTGCAAGGCCAGCTAGCCCCCTTGCCCACTCCAGGAGGGGAGCAAAGCAGTGACCTCACTCTGCTGGAGCTGCCCGCCACGAACCAGGACACCTGGGTTCCAGTCCAGGCCCTGGGCTCGAAGGCATGGGGCTCGTCAGCAGGCTGTGGGTGGCAGTGGGTGAAATGAGTTTGCTGGACCTCAGCCCATCCAGTCTCCAGAGTAGAGCCACACAGTGGGTGTCCTCCCTGGTCTAACCTGGGCACCTGGTTTCAGATCAGCAGCCTGGAGCAGGACGGGGAGGAGCTGAATGGCCAGGCCCGCTGCCCCTTTGATGCCAAGCAGACCAACGTGGCCCTCTTTGCAGGTATGTGGCTGTGGCTGAACTTGACACGTGGGGCAATGCAGGGGTGGATTGGGACATGACTCCCCGCTGGGTCTGGGGGGGAGAGGCCCATCCCTGATGCCTGGGCAGTGCCCATGTGGGGGCAGTCAGATCCAGCGGGCACTAGACCACAGGGTAGCCGTGACCAGGGCACAGCCAGCTGTGTCCCACGGAGATTGCCAGCTGCTGCACCCCCTGGGATAGATCAGTCTGGCATTGCTGCAAGAGGGAGGCCATGTGGGGCACCCCTCTGTGCCAGCCCCCTGCCTCCCTCCCTCCCTCCCTCCAGCCCCAACCTCTCTGCTCTCCCCTTGCAGATGGGAACCTCTACTCAGCCACGGTGGCTGACTTCCAAGCCAGCGACGCGGTGATCTACCGCAGCCTGGGCGAACGCAGCCCCATGCTCCGCACAGTCAAGTACGACTCCAAGTGGCTGCGAGGTGAGGAGGCAGGGGCAGGGGCATGGGGCAGAGCTGGTGGGGCAGGGACTCCTTTTTTCTCAGAGAAGCACATGTGTGGAGCTGTCTTAGGTGAACGAATGGCAGTAGAGGTCAGGACTCCTGGATTCTCTTTGTAGTAGCTTGAGCCACCACCTGGTAGCCAGGACTCCTGGGTTGTGTGCCCAGCTCTGGGAGAGCTGTGGCATCTAGTCGGTGGCAGGCCTGAACCTCTGTCCTCTCTGCTGTAACCCCCAAGCTTGGGGCTGGGGGTCGCTAGAGTCAGGAGTCGGGACGGCTGGGTTCTCTTCCCAGCTCGGAGAGGAGATTGGGTGCCAGGACTTCTGGGCTCATTTCCTGATTAACCCAGGCCTGTTCCTGCCCCTCTGCCTGCCTCAGCTTCCCTGATGCCCTGTGGGGCCATGGTCTCAGCATGCTCCTGAGGGGCAGGGCAGCAGGCACCCAGGTCAGGTGCTGCTTGGACAGGCCTGGCCTGGTGAACCCAGCTTTTCTCCTGCCCCCAGAACCGCACTTCCTCCATGCCCTGGAGCATGGCAGCTATGTCTACTTCTTCTTCCGGGAGATCTCCATGGAGTACACCACGCTGGGCCGGGTGAGCGTGGGGCAGGGCTGGGTCTGTGTGGCAGCATGGGCCCAAGCTGCCTGTGGGACCCTGGGCATCTCGGACTGGGGGTGCTGATGCTGGGAGCCTTGGGACAGCTGGGTCCCTGGGCTTGCCTGTCACCCTGGCCTCAGGCCAGGCTGCTTCTCCGTGGGAGCCAGGCACTGGGGGCACTGAACCCCAGGGTCTTCACTCCAGGCTTCGGGAGCCCTCAGTCGACAGCCTCTGTCCCCAGCTGGGGAGGCAGTGACGTCTAGTGGGTGTGGGGGTCAGGACTCCTGGGTTCTTTCCCAGTTGGGGGAGGGGAGCGCAGTCTAGCAGGGGTAGGATCACTAGCTTAGGGAATGGGGATCTAGCACACCCATGGGCCCTGGGGCATCTCTGCTGCCACTGTGCTAAGGGGCAGTTTGGCCGCTCTCGCCCCACCATAACTGGGACTTCGCTGTGCCAGGTGGTGTTCTCGCGGGTGGCACGCGTGTGCAAGAACGACCTGGGCGGCTCGCCCCGTGTGCTGGAGAAGTACTGGACCTCTTTCCTCAAGGCCCGGCTCAACTGCTCTGTGCCCGGCGACAGCTTCTTCTACTTCGATGTGCTGCAGGCTGTCACCGGCGTGGCCCAGCTAAACGGGCGGCCTGCCGTCTTTGGCGTCTTCACCACTCAGGCCAACAGGTACCATGGCAGGTGTCTCTCCTACCAGTTCTCCCACTAATATCCCAGCAGCCTCTGGGGCAGGAGGCTATGCACCCCACAAGGGGTCTGGCACCTTCAGGAACCTGAGAAAGCCCTGAGCCCCCATGTCCTGCTAACTCTTGGACCCAAGCAGGGGGTCCGAGCCGTGCCCCATGCTCACACCTGCCCATTTCCCCAGCATCACCGGCTCGGCTGTCTGTGCCTTCTACCTGGATGACATTGAGCGTGTGTTCAGCGGGAGGTTCAAGGAGCAGCGGAGCCCAGATGCTGCCTGGACGCCTGTCCCTGAAGACAAGGTGCCCAAGCCCAGGTACCAGCTTTGGTGCAGCCAGTTGGTAGGGGCAGGGGGCTGGGATACCTGGCTCCCCCTCCCCTGTGGGTCTAGATGGGTCTGGCTGTTCTTTGCCTGCTTCGGGGGCACTAGGAAGTGATGGAGGTGTGGTTTTGGGGTGGGGGCTCCTTGCATTGTCCCCCTGTCTCACTGGGCCCCGGGGATGTGGGGCAGTAGGGTGCATGGGGCTGGGCAGAGAGTGCCAAGCTGCTATGCCCATGGCTAGGTGCTCTCTCCTCCCAGGCCAGGCTCCTGCGCTGGCTCCGGGACTGCAGGCACCTACCGCAGCTCCAGTGAGTTCCCCGATGAGACCCTGTCCTTCATCAAGTCCTACCCACTGCTGGATGAGGCCGTACCCTCCGCCACTGGCCAGCCCCTCTTCACCAAGACGGCCAGCAGGTACTGCCCCTGAGGGCGGCTCTGAGTGCATGTACACGTGTATGCACGTGGGTGTGTATGTGGATGCATATGTGCCTAGTTCAAGTCAGCCGGCCCTGACAATCTTCACCCCAGGGTACTCAAGGAGCTGGCGAGCATCATAGCCCAGCCTCTAGCACGGATCTTTGAAAACTCTTGGCGCTCTGGTGTAGTGCCCGAAGACTGGAAGAAGGCCAATGTGGTGCCTATCTTCAAGAAGGGAGGAAAGTGGATGCGGCTAACTATAGGCCCATCAGCCTGACTTCTATCCCGGGGAAGATCTTAGAAAAGTTTATTAAAGAGGCCATCCTTAATGGACTGGCCGACGCCAACGTCTTAAGGGATAGCCAGCACGGGTTTGTTGCGGGTAGGTCTTGCTTGACCAATCTCATTTCCTTCTATGACCAGGTGACCTATCACCTGGACAAGGGAGAAGAGATTGATGTCATATATCTTGACTTCAAAAAAGCCTTCGATCTGGTGTCCCATGATCACCTCTTGGAGAAACTGGCCAATTGTCGCCTTGGGTCCTCCA